ATATATATATATATATATAATTTATATTTTGTTAGTTTACATTTGCTCGTTTACAGTATAAAGAGTGTTATATGCTGGAGGATGAGTAACGTGCAATTCACGAGTAACGGAATTTTTATTTCTCTCCAGCTTTTATTTATTATATCAATGAATTAGATCTGTATATTACTTGTTATTTTATGCGTGCCACATTAGAAAGAACGTCTGGTCTTATTTGTTGACAAAGTTGCAATAGATCTGGAAGGATATATCTATCTTCTCTTTTCCTCATTAGCATTTATTCATAATACAACGAACATGTAATCGGTTTACACCGATCGATTGAGAATACCATTGTAAAAGTTGCACCTCACCCGTGCAATAGATATATTTTCTGTACCATCGCCTTGTTCATCTTGCGCGTAATTCACCTCGCCCTCTTGTGATTTACGTCATGTGTGTATATATATATAATATTATTGAGTCACCCACATTAGTACAATAAAAATTTATTCAATGATTACATGCAATGATACAATCGCAATTTTTCAATTCTAAGTAATATATACTCGAAATAACCCATCCAAATCTTCACTTCTGGCTCACTCCTAAATAAATAACGTAAACTTCACAAAGAGTACTTTATATTAATACATTTAAATTTATAATATTAAATTATATTCAATTTGAATTATTTTTAATAATTTCTGTAAGTCGCTGCTGTTCCTACTCAATATATTTAATACTTAATATTGCTTTAAAATACCTAATAAAATTAAACGCTTTAATCAAGAAAATGCTAAATTTGAGACTCAAATTTAATTTATTATTTACCAAATACGTTAATGAAAATTGTTTACTTAGAAACTAATCACAGAAATGGATTGATTTACGATTTTGGCACAAGTAGGTTACAGTATTGCTCCTTTGATATGCAAAGCAATAGTTGACATGAAAAAAATCAATTACTGCATGTGGAACAAAATTATATTTATTAGACACATGTTTTCGATAAATACATATTTTATATTAATTGTATTTCGCCGGGAATAAAACACATTCATACACATGAGCGTATATTACGTCTATTAAATATCATACTTATGTTTATACTGAAAATTATTGCATATTAGCAATATTCAAAATAAACAAATGTTTTAACATTTTCAAAATGAAAGTTCCAAAAAGTTTTTTGCTTATCTTTATTGATGTACAGAACAAAAATAGATTATGAAATATGTTACAGCGCGACTTATAAATATTAATTACACAATCGTGTAAGACACGAAACGTTATTTAATCGCGCAAAATTACATCGAGAAATTCAATTCTACGTGCTTCAACGCGATAAAAAAATACTTATTAAGTCACAACGGAATTTAAGAGTTTTAAAATATGCTTTCACAAATTCTGTATGTACTCAAAGATTAAGCACATATTTTGTCAAGGTTACGCAAAATGAATTGGGGCTATATTTTAATAAGTATCATTTGAACTACAATGGTAATAAAAAGTACTACTTAAATAAAAACAGTAGAAATTAATTTTTTTTAAATTTTGACAAATACATTAATAGTGTTTTTTTGATATCTTATTTTTTGTACTTGTAGAAGCGCTAATGCGATTTTTTCATCGTAAAAATTTATCGTAGGTAAATATTTTATTTAAAGATCTATCTATCGCTTATTAATGAAAGAAATTAAATAAGTAAAAAAAGGGATCGACTATAAATAAAGGAAAACAAAAAGGATGTATTTGGGAAGATTTAGATGAACGAAAATGTCTCGAGGGGCAGAATTTTTCAAAAAATATACTTTTCTACACTTGTTTGTTGTTTGTCCATTGCCCTTCTTTGATTTAACCAATTAATCTGTCAATTTTTTAGGAGAAGAAAGAACCCATGCGTCTGTATTGTATAATTGGATCCCAGATCCGTTTTATGTCCTACAATAAACTCTACGATTGCGTTTATTAAATCCGCATTATTTTCGGGGAAAGAAAAATTGCATTTAATAGTTAATTTACAAGGTTTCAGCTAAAACGATCACTCCTCTGTGAAATCACAAAATTTGTGCTAGAGCGTTAGAGGATCGTTTTTAGTTTTGTGACCGAGAATATCGCTGGATTTTAAAAGAGATTCGAATCTATTTGTTACATCGATATATTATTAATTAATAATTAATATATCATTTATTATTTAAATTTTCAATAATCATTTATAAATTTTGCAGAATTTTTCAAGAAATGCATAAATCATCCATGAAAAGTATGATATAATTAAGAAGTTAAATAAAATTCTTCGGCAATTAATTATTGTTATTTTATCAACATTTCAAGCATTAATAATAAATTAATTAATTAATGACAATTTTTATTGATTTCTATTTCTATTAATATGATATTTGCGTATAAAAACTGTATAAAATATGCCACTATTTCTGTGGCAGAAATGTCATTAAAATCCAGTGTCGATAATCCCATACAGTTACTTTCATTGAGATATAAATTGCTGTACTTACATGTCTTATGTATAGAAAATAATTTCTATGCGAAAATATGTTCACAAAAGCGACACAACTATATGTAATCCAGACTAGATCTCGCGAATGTTTCGAGGAAATCAAAACAGATTCGCATTTAATCACTGGTATATAAAATATCGCCTCTGAATATATAGGTACGTGGTGACACATCCGCGTGTCGGCTACTGTGCCGCGACACGTGTGCAATCACATAATATACAAAATATCTTTTTACCAAATATACATACGTATATATCGCACAACGCACGTTAAAATTACCTGTGCTAAATTTACTGGTCCGCAATTTCCTGAAATAAGTTATTTATCAAGTGAAACACGGATTGTGTCTTGCAATTATATAATTCCGTGTCTTGGGTTACGTGACCGACGACTAGCGAAGCTCGGAGTCCATTTTCACGTGGACGTATTATTTTCTAAACACGTGACTTATACAAATTTAAATTTATCTAATTACAATAATCGTCGTGCACATTACCGTTTTATCTCATGTCGCGCGATTTTGAACTTCATTTATTCAGAATTTGTTTACGCGAGATAAATTTAGATTTTAATCAAACTTAAATTATTTATGGAAAAGTTTATTGGAATTTAAAATCTGCCAAGTTTGTCCAAGGGATATTTTATTATACGTATATATATATTAAGATGTATTATTTTATTTTCAAGATTTATGTAGTCTTTGTTACTGATATTCTTAGAAATTTTTGAACGGGACTTTTAATAGATAAATGGACATACGAAATTCCGATAAATGGAGCATTATCGAGCGCGAATAAAGAAAAAAATATAGCGCTCTATCGCACGAGTCTCTATAAAAAATACGAATTGTCGGAAGAAACACGAAAAATGCAGACAGACGAAACACGTATATTACACGATAAATCTATAGATGTAGATGTAATCTGAGAAGTATAAATATAAATTCTTACATACTAGTCTTATATCGCTCTATATTGTTTTTCCAAAATATTTTTCGGAGATATAAAAAATGCTGAATATACAAATTGCGGTACATCGCAAGTATTGTGATGCTACGCGTGAATGTGTAGCTGCTGGAAGATTATCTCACCTTCTGTTTAACAAAGTTATGAGCGACGGCTTTTGTAATTGTACGTATTTTGAATGAAATGCACATTTTTTCGTAATTTATCAGTAATTTATAACTATTCTCTGATACTTTGAAGCAATAAAAGTATATACGTATCAATGACGGAACTTTGTCGAGGAACATATTATTAATCATTAATTGTACGTAAAATTGATATTAATGAAAAGTAAATTATGTAATTATTCAATTATTTTCTAACAGATTTACAATGATTTTTTTTAAACAGTTAATACTGTATTAATCGTGCCGAGTTATAATTTAATATAATGACGTGATAATTTAATATAATTAACACTGAAAATTATATACAATTACAAAATATAATACAAAACGTGTAAGGAAAGATCTCGCTATATGTATATCGATATATATTCTTTTCATTTTCAGGCGCTAGATACAATCTTCTTTTTTTACGTGAAAAGGATTTAATAAAATAATATAATCATACAGAAGACAACTAATTAAATATGACACTTGTTGCGCAATTTAATTTCGCAAATACGCGTGAAATTGTTCTTTTCGATATAAATATATTATATAAATTTATATAATTTTCTATTCTCGTGCGCATTGTCCGCCTGATTAATACAAAATCGACTGTAAAAATATCTCGGTCAATTCGTATACGCAGTTATTTATAACGCAACATGTATACAAAATTACGCAGACGGTATTAAAAATTGTGTCGAGTTATACTCATTTTTTTTTTTTTAGTATAATACTACCTTCGATGCACCGTGTCGAGAAAACCAGTCATTTCTACTCGCGCGTTAATATATCATAATTATATTATATTATTATCTCTCTATAGAATATTTTTAAAAATTATTGCGCGTTCATTCAATCACGATTCCATTAAAAATTTACATCCGTGATTGAGCGAACGTTCGTGACTCTGAGAGATACGTACATAAAATAATGTAAGTGCCATCTCATGGAAATCTCACAGGTATTTAATACGTTCTAGTTCGCATCTTAGGAAATTTACTTTAACCAGCTGCTAAGGCAATTTGAAAATATTTCTGAGCTTTGTACCTTGGTCAATCTATTTCAGAGCCGATTAGTTTCTCAATATATGACGCATTGGTAATTCACTTCAATTGTCATCTTATTTCTTAAATAGAAATCGAATCTTTTAGAAAAAAATGTCAAAGTTATGTTATTCTCGAATGTCGATAAAATCACGTATCCTTCACCGAGTGCATTTCATTCGTCGCTTATAGGCATAAGTTAATTCGCGATTGCGGTTTTTTCGGTAAAGATGTTCGAACAGTTTAAAGAATTATAATCTGATTTTAAACCCATTTGAAAAAAATGCAAATATGGCGAACACTAATTTTGGGTGTTTTTTTGGAATTATTTATAGCGGGTCGATCGCAGCTTCTATGAATGCTGGCAAGATGCAGTCTGGGACGGTAACGGAGGCGGTAGAGGTGCATTCTCCTCATGAATCATCACTAACTTTCCGTACTTCACCATTCGTCTCCTCTGTTTGCGCTGTAAACAAATCAAAACAGATCGCGAACGATTTTATATGACAAAATATTCCAATAAATATCTTAATGAATTTCGCAATATGCCCTTAATCATCGTTTTCACCTGCGATTCAGTCCAACTGCCGTTGCTGCTTCCGCTATCGCTTCCGCTTGACGTAATTCCGTCCTCGAGGATGAGTTCAGTACCGAAACCTCCCATTTCCAGGTCCAGGTAGAGTTGTCCCAGTTGATCGTTCACCAATAATGGTTGACTGAAGGTCTTCATCGCGTCTAGATCGGCTTTTAGCACCTCGTTCAATGTTCTAGGATGCATCTGGTATTCATAAATCAACTCCGGTGTCAATTGGACGCCTTCCAGCCAGGGTGGAGCCGTCCTCTGCATTCCCTGGCACTTCGTGTGTTCCTACGCATTTATTATACTCATATAGTCAAATAAATGAATATTTAAATGCCGTAAAGGTCTGAAAAAGCGTTTAAAAATGTACGAAAGATCGAGACATCTTTTGGACATCTTTCGTGTATTGCGTTTGATTCTTTACCTCAGAAGAAACTTCGCATGTCTTCTGATCCGGATTGCAGCTGCTGTCACTGCTCTTATATACGAAGCTGCTACTGTAAAAGCTGGACAAGCTCGATTCATCCCCGTTGTAGTCAGTCGGCCGGCGATGTTCTTTTATAACCACCGGTGTTAAATCTACCATGCTCGAGCAACCGCCGTCATTACCCACGCATGACGAAGACAGCTCGCCGGGTGATAGAACCTGCCAAAGTTAGTAATATAAATTAACATTTTACTGAATAATCGAAGTTACTGAAGACTTTAGTTCTAAAATATCGATTAATTAATTTTATTAAAATCCTAGTTATAGAAAAACATTTTTTCCATTATCTTTCACAATAAACAATTTGTACATAATAGGATGCAAGAATTTGATATAGTCGGTTTACCTTGTTGGAAGACTTGGACATAGCCATTGTACTCCCCGATTCGGCCTTGATGCTGGTCGCTTGACTGGCTGGTCGTTTGCGATCCGGACACTTGTCGTTGGATGGCTGTTGGTTCTCGCGTGTTGTCGGCAGTGATTGCTCGGGTATCAGAAAAGGTCGGTACACCATAGCACGTGGTGGAGGTGCACCAATCACTGCTGGATAGATCACCCCGGTCATCGCCGTCGCGATGTAAGATACTGGAGTAAACACTAAAATTCTTTTATATCTTCCCATAAGAGACCTACTTTTAAATATGCAATTCAATTCTAATTTAATTTCAAACTTTCGAAAACATCTCTTTTATAGAGTTACTCCTAAACAGATTCAAATCTACAAGTCGTTTCGAAGCATAAAATATAGTATTCAATAATAAGAATTTATTAAATTAATTTTTTATATTTTTAATTTTGGCTTATCGTCGAATAAAATACCTACTGTAAGGATTCTGTTGATTCGATTGCGTTGACGGCGATGGACTAAGCTTCTCTTGCGACGATTCGTTGGGTTGCGGTACCGGCATATAGTACACCGGTATCATTGACGGAAGTAATGGGAATCTGGATACAGTCTCTGAGTTGGTACTAGAATATTTTTTTAATGCGTAACTCATTCATATATCATAATTATTTGTTCTCTATTATTTTTTATACGGTTTTTGAGATTTTTGTGGAACATTCGGTATTTTATAAATTGAATGTTATCACTTTTCTATAAAATGTTTAATATTAATATAAAGTTAATATATTTTATTTTATGTTATTTTATATTTTAAAGCTAGTATTCTTACTTATGGGATGAAACGCAAGGTTGAGTAGGTGAAGAGGGCACAGCCGACAATGGTGGCCACAGATTAATATTCGCCCCCGTTTGTACCACGGTTGATTGATCAAGACTCATGCTGACAGTGGTTGTGAGATTCGCTGGACCTACCGTACTTGTCTTCCAGATTTTATCATGCTTCGATACCTATTTCCATATTATCGTCATATTTAGATTCGTATAAATTTGACTTAGTACGCATATCTATGTATGCTTTTTTGCATTTATATATAAAAATGTATGTATTTATATATTTATTAATAATATTATACAGATTTAGTCCTTTGGTGCCATTATGGGTGTACTTGATCTTCCTTTTCTAATGCTCGTAACTTTTTTTTATTAATAAACATTTGGTACCATTATTTTCTTACGTTTTGATTAAAACAAAAATTTTTACAATATGTTTACTTTTATGAAAATTTTATTTAAATTGATACACCAGACTCAGTGTGTCTTACCATATTGTGGCACAAAAAATTTAGCATTGAAAGAAGAAATTAAAATCTACCCATTCTACACAACAAAGATAAAATTGTTCAGCCTGATTAAATTCCTTAAAAAATGTAAGGCATACCTTAAAGCTATCACCATCCCAACTATGACTGCTGCTCCTCTTAACCCCGTGACCTTGACTGACGTAATGAGTGCTCTGGTCCGTACCGTTGACATTTTCCGTTTTGACGCGCGAGTCTTTCAACTTGTCGCTGTTCTTGATGCTGGAGCGTAGCTCTCGATGTTTCTGCATCATCATCTTCTCCATGTCCTCGTTGTGGCGATTCAATAGTGACTCTGTCAGCGTGGGCGACTTGAAGCTCTCTGTCGCGGTGGTGTTACTGTTGCTGGCGGTGTTGGACGCGTCACCCCGACTTGCAGAACTTGTTTGATTGTTAGAACCACTGCTCAGATTCTCCGCGCTACCACTGCCACTTGCCCCGCTGCCGTTTATCAGCGACATACACTTTCGCGCTGAAAACACGACAGAAATTTATCTTAATGAGATAAATATCTCATTTATTTAGTAAGCCAGCTAATTCATCGAAGAAAGGAGGTTCGCCACAACCTGGTTGTAGTATTGGTAATCGATCAACCAGATCTGGTGTAAGGAACATTAAATCAATAAAATATCATGTGTCATCAAAGATTGATGGAATTTTTTATTGATTTTAATTCCAATAATATAAACTGTATTTTTATCTTTGAGTCTTAAATTGCACGTTTTTACTCAATACTAACAAAAATTAATTAGAATATTTTAAAATTCTATCTAAAAATCCATAAAAATAGAAGAGATCCGATTTGGAACCTATGAGTTCCAAATCTAATAGTTCCAAATCGGACCGGAAAATGCATTTTTACATTTTCCATTATAGTTCGACACATGTAAGAGATACGTCAAAATGGTTTCAAGCAAAATAAAATTAAGGAAATTAAATGATCTTTCGATCTTGGCACCATTGGTTTTATGATCGGACTTTATTTACGCCTCATAGAGAACAAAAACTGAAAATAGGTCCGATTTAGATCTATTCTCCCCCTATATAATACTAATTTTGAGGTGTAAGTTTGGTGTAATAATTAATTGTTATAAAGGAATAAAAGTATATTCTTTTTTTTCTTTAGATTTTTGTTCTTTTTCTGTAAACTAAAAAAATGATAATTTTTAATTATGTAGCAAACGAGCAATATGCATGGAAAAGATTTTTTGCAGCATTGCTCACCATGCTTGAGATTCTTATATGCGTAATTATTTTAATGATTTAATTACATTATTGTTATATTTGTATTTGTAATCAGTCAAAATTTCAGATACTTCAGGAACTTTCGATACGTTCTTTCTGTGTTTTTAATTAACTGGATGCGAGATACGATGAAGAAAAGTTGAATGGTGAAGATGACACTTACCGCCTTCGTCGTTGCTGGAATTGACGTTCTCCTCGTCGCTGCCGTACATGGTCGCGACCGAGGGTTTACTTTTGAAGAAGCGCTCGAGATTTTCGTTGTAGTTTAGCTGGTTGTAACTCGGCGGTGTTTCCGTGGAGGACTTGCTGTCGTAGTCCTCGTGATGGGGCGAGATCTCACCAAGCATCACGCTGTCGTGCTCCTGCAACAAGGGATTTCGTGATCCCTTCACAAGTATATTGTAGAGACTTAGAGTGAGTTGTCACTGAGGATCAGTATTGCAACTTAACGCCGTTACCGTGGTCAGTATAGCGTTTTTGCGTGGTCGTATTTGCTTTTCATTTCTTTCTTTTCTTTTTGTGTGAGCGGTGAGAGGTGAGATGCGCCTGCCAGCCATGGCGAAGATCGGTCTCAGTTAAATTGACAATTTCGCTAGAAGCTGTCCTCATTTGCCTACTAAACCACCTACGACCGTCCATTTGCAAGCTTGCGGCTCAAGCTTTTGCGGCACGCACGAATAATACATGTTTTTTTTTACAGGGATGGATTAAGATCGACCGAGTGATCAGGATTATACGAGCACCTCACCACGAATTGCAACGTCCTTTGTTGCATTAAATTCCACCTTCTCCTGATACCGAGAGTCCAGTCATTGATCGATTGAAGCCGGCCGGTAGAATCGCGGCCGAGTTCAGTTTTCCGTATCGCAGAGGCAGTAAGATGCCGATTTAACAATTTTGCGATTTTTTTTTTGCGTGCCCCTACGAAGTACGAGCGAAATTACTGCCTTTAATTTTTCTCTACTGATCTATTCGTACTATTCTTTCCTTCTTACACATCATCCCCATTCTTCTCATGCCTTACCTTTTATTCGACCCTTGGAGAATATTGAATACTGTTTTAAAAATATATTAGTAATAACGACAAACATTTACCCTTACAAAATTTAATACTGAAAGATTGATTAATCCTTCCGTGATCCAACATTTCTTAATACTTTTCTAGTCCAACTGGGTCTTACTATGCCTAATTGTTTTTTCAAAGAGTTTTTGGGCTCTAAAAATTAAAAAAAATTCTAGTACATTCTTTCAACATCTAAGAATACAATTTTACAATTATGTGACCCAAAACGTTTCTCAATTTTTTTGTTCGTGTCCGAATTTGAGGTAGAATAATTCAAAATTGAAAGTTCGTTCGGGTCTTCGAAGCCTCAATTGGACCATGAAGGGATTTAATTTGAGTATTAAAAATACTGTCGTTCAGGACTTTTAATACTCAGAATAAGTAATTAATAATTACCTTTGTGAGTATTAAATTGACTAGTATTTAATTAAATTTCTGTTAGAGATAAAAAGCATATCGTGTGTTGACAACGAGATTAGATAACTATCGTGAACTAACATCTTTCACATCGTATTAATGAATATTTGTAAAGTAAAATGTAATAACGTTAGTGCTACACATACACACGCACACACACATACACAGGTAAGTATCTCTACGGTATAAATATAGTGTGTTAGGGTAAACCCGGTATATACGCCGCACCTATCGAAAATTTAATTTATCAATTATTATTTACTATGTTTAAAGTAAATTAATTATATAAATAGAATCTTTGTATCATCTACTACTATAAAAAAAATATTAGAAATCTAAAATAATTTATTTTTCATATTAAAAAGTAACTTTTTCAAACCCCTGCATTTTTGCCATTTATCCCATAGGGGGGGGATAATATGGCCACTCATATATAATTCATAAGAAAATCACAAATAATCTATAAATAAGATGTAAAATGACGACGTAACTTGCATTGTTTATTAATATATGACAATTTTTATTGTTCAGAATGAAAAATGGAATACAAATAGGACTTAACACAATTTTTTAAAATAGCTTCAAATCTTTGAAAATAATCTTTAAACGTTTAAGATTTATCAACATTTATGCATTAATGCAATGTATAATTGTTAGAATTAACAAAAACTTCTTAAATAGAGCGTCTGTGCTGCGGCACAGCATCCCGCTCGCTAAAAATGCCGTATATCCCAAATAGATGGGATATATATGACAACTAATTAAACAAACAATACAGGAGCAAAGCACTTGTATTTTGCTATACAACATGCTTTACTATTCCTCTACACATATGTATTGCAAAATAACCACTAAGTCTTTTACACGCTCTATAATAATCATTTTATGTAGATTATAAATTATGATGGCACTACTTATTACAGTAAAAAATCGATTTAACTCGCAATAATTTCATTAATATTAACAGTAAAGAACTGAAATCATAACATAATACTAATATACCATAAAGGCATGTAACAAAGTAATTGACGGAAACTTATCCCCACTCCTTCTATTTTTTCTGACTTCTGCGGCGTATTTGCTGACGCGGCGTATATACCGGGTTTACCCTATACGTAGCATACCAGAGCGGAGCGCATTATAGTATAAGTAATTAAGGTAACAGTGTTTCGGCGATACTAAAACGTAGCTAATAGTCACCGAAAAGCTCCTGAGTTCGTCCGCCGCGAGTAGTCCATCCTTGCCGACTCCGGGAGCCTTCATCTCCTGCAGCAGATTTTCCATGAAGGATGCTAGATCCTTACATCGCTTTGACACGTCGAGCTCGGTTATATCGAACGTTCTCTGGATGCTCTGCGCACACGTACGATAGAAAAGAAAAAAAGAGAACAAGTTGGGGGATGAGTTAGCTCTTGTCTCCGCTTCGTGGTGAGAGATTCTCGTTTTGTTTTCTCTTTGTTACACGGTAACGCCAAGCCTGCATTTCTTACATACATACATCGAACGATTAACTACCTCTTTGCCGTGTTATTGGACTTTGCAGGGCGGTATTAAGCGAGTCCTTTCGCTATTAAAAATAATTCAATTAGGTCATCACCGAGGAAGCTGAGCTTGATAACCACGATTGTATAACAGCCCGGCTTCTTTAATCTCAAAATTATATACGTCGTTTTTAAGAAGATACAAGTAAGGGGGAATAAGACAAAGGTGGGTAGGGAAGATCTCTCCACTAAATTTTGTCATGGAGAAATAATTAAATTATAAAAATTATTTTTATAATGAAAAATTAAACACTTATTGAGCGGTATTTATAGTTTGTTCTTATTTTATACAAGACTGTGTTAAGTAATGTTTTAAGATGCTAATACGGTTTTTTGATTGACTGACTATACATATGAGTATATAATATCATCCAATTATCCAATTTGTGACTCTTTGTCGAAGATCCTTGAAGTCTAGTTTTAATAAAATAATTATTTTAATAAACGAGGATGTTTTTAATTAGCGGCCTTTTTTAAACATCCTCCTTTGGGTGAAGATAAATTTTTGTCCTTCCCTATTGAAATCCTGATGGGTACGCCCATGAAGGGAGCTTCAAATCTCGAGTAAGATCGCGAATCATAGTGTTGCGATGTGCATGTGTAACGTAGTTGTCTTCATCAGTGATCGTACCTCATCGAGGAACGCCCGTATTTCACTCTGGATGATTTTGGCCTCCTTCAGCACCTCCTCGCTGATGCTGGCCAGGTAACCGTACTCGGTGTCGCGTGGTACGCGGAAGATGTCCGGGTCCATTGGTCCCTTGAGCACTCGATGCTGACCTACGACAAATTCTAGTTTTTTCGTCCAGGGATTGATAAAGGATGACCACTCGGTCTCGAGGACGACGCAGCCCCCGTTCTGCACGGCGAACCTGTATGGCTTCGATCTGAAGGAGGAGCCTTCGAGTTTGATCACCTGTTCAACGACATTTCGTAAGAAGTTACATGAATAATTTACGACAGTGATATGAAGGGGGAATATCTGAACACTCATTCATTCGCTTTCATCTCTCTTTCTCTCTCTTTCTCTCTTATTCAAGCTCTCTCGCACATCTCTCGTCTTTCTCTTGTCAAGCGTGCACGCGATACCTAAATTTCTTTCTCTCTTTCTTTCTTTGTTAGGCTCATGCTCACAGTCTCATAGATGTCTTTGATGAAAGGTAGATCCTCGGGATGGTAGAAGTCAAACAGCGAACGGCCAACCATATCCTGTGGTAGATAGCCGAAGTATTGGACTACGTCGGGATCAACATGGGATAGGTGGCACGTCGCGGTGTGGCGGGTCGTGAATATCGAAGATATTATTGTTTCTTCTGGCGCTGCGGATAACGATAAGGTTCGGGGTCATTCTCTCTTGTCGCGGGTCACTACCTTAATGAGCGAGAGTCTTAGTAATGGTTAGACGCCGTTACAAGCCGGGGTGAGATTTGCACGTTGCTAATTAATTAGTTTTGGCGCAGTTAAAAAAAATTCATGCTCGAGAAGTTGCTCGATAACGTTCAGAATTGTCTCTATATCCGTTCGTTCTGGAGATAAGTTAAATAACTTTGCACGAATTTCTCTATTGATCATAAGCAAACTTTGGAACTTTGTCTTTTTTTGCGATGGTTTCTCCTTTATATTATACTCGCGATTTCATAACAATTTTTTTTAAATTTACGTAATAATGAACGTAAGAGGATGAATAAATAAAATAGAATAACTGATACAGATTATTTAACAATTTTGTAAAGTAATCGAGAAATCGATAAAAGATCACGCGAGTTTAGGTTGAAGTTCCAAAGAGTAATAGTTTCTTATAAGGAACTTAAGGACATATCAGCCGTTTGGATCAAATGTTTTAATATATACATATATTGATATTTATATCTTTTATGCAAAAATGTATACAAAAATTTTATATACATGAAACAATTGTGTAAATAATATCATGTATTTGTTTAATGATACATGTTTATATTTTAGTTTATTTACTACACTTATTATTTTTCTATTGTTATAATACTTTAACTTAAAAAATGATGACAAAAATTATAATTTTTTGTACTTTAAATAATTAAAATTATTTATGCAACGCTTTATTATGATTTACAGATTAGTTGTTTTGTGAATGAAGTTTAATAAAGTAAATTAATTAAATATAATTTAAATTGATTAATATAATTTGAAATTGCAAATTCTTAACTTCTTTACATGGTAAAATAAATAAACAAAGAAATATACAAAGTTATAGGAGTCGACCGCTGGTTGTTATGTTGCAAAATCTTGAACTTAATAATATAATAATTTCCTTACGTTTCGACTTCTGTTTCGAGTCAGCTTTCCCAATATTACTGCAAATTATCATATATTAATGCAAAGTAAATTTTATTTATTCGTAATAAAATAACTAAATTATGAATGGCAATACAATTTTGTATGAATAAATATAACTACCTATTTAAAGTACTTATACAAATTAAAATTTTTTTAATTTTTTTTTAAAATTGAAGTATTATAACAGTAAAAAAACATAAATGCAGCAAATAAATTACAAAAATGTGTAATGTTAAATAAATATATGATGTTATTTAAATAATTCATATATAGTTTCATGTATTTAATTTTAGTATTAATTTTTATGTAAAAAGTATAAATATTAATACATTTCAGTCCAAAACTATTTGCAAGGCTGATCCTCTAACCCTTTTCAACAACTTAAAAATTAATAGCAAAGCTTGTGTAATAAGTGCGCATTGTGATCAGAGATGGAAGTTATCCATGCGCTGGCAAAAGCGAAGCGAGCGAACCACCTTGTGAAAGATGACGAGTGCGGTGTGGCAACGTGAGATACGAGCGTTCGTAACAGTGGTCTCCAAACTGAACGGAAAACGGGGAACCAATCGGAAAAATGGCGAGGTAATGGCACAGCGACAAATACGGCAAAGATGCGAACGGTATGTATCATCACGAGCCGCCGCGCGAGCGGCTTTGAGAAGTTGGAAGTAAGTTACCTTCGTTTCAGACGTTTTCCATGGAAACCACCGATTCACTGAGTATCGTCAACGAGGTCGGACCAACGACAAGGCTCGATCATCGCGGAGCGATTAGTGTCTTAATTGAGAACGTATAAGCAGTTAAGCGAGATTAGTGAATGGGATTATCGCGTTTAAAATATTGCTGCGACTTTTCCGCAAGTATTCTGGATACATCCTGTAAATCCGAATCACTTCGACGAAGATGCTCGTTTACTTCAGCACGCGTTTGTCCACGACGGGGTATACTATTCCAAGCGATTGTTATATTTGCAAGCAAGGATTTAGTAGGATGAATGTTGTCGGAAATTTTCCTCGACGTAACTCGATCGACATCGAATTGACAGTGGTCCGCAGAATCTTTTTCGGATCACCACCATTTCGCCGCGATCTGCATTGATGTTGCGCTAAATCGCAGGTTGGCCGCTAACTTTTGCGACAATTAAGTTGATTGTTTGTAATTATCGAGTCCTCTCGCCGGTCAGACCTCGTCGAAGACCTTGGACCATGCTACCTTTGTATGCGGAATGGACGGGTTGAGCGGTAACTACGAGGAACATAGCTCGGTTGCTGGGTTGTTGCTCGGCTGTTCGGTCCCGGAAGTCCCGAAACGACAAAGTCAGATGGAAAGGCAAGTACAGATTCGACCGGGCGTCTGCTTGATATCCATTTGGAATGGTGCATTTGGTGAATCTCCGCAAACCACAGAACAGGCTCGCCCTTCTACCATTGATTCCTAAAAAAAGGAACTATGTTCTACTTGACGCCACTCAGAACTTGGATAATAATAAAATATAATAATTAATTCCTGACAATCGAGAACAAAAGTTTAAGGGGGGAAATACCTTTACAAAAATACATTTTTTGCATAAAATGTTAGTACAACACATGAAGAATATACTGACAAAATTTTAAATAAAAAATTCGAAGAATTGACAGAGTTATTACCTGTGTACACGTGTCACAGGTATAGTCATGCGCTCGAAGCAAAGGGATCCGCGTATTGTAATCCCTTCTTTCAAAATCCCTTCTCCGATATTATCGTCTGCTCAGGTAACTGACCTGATATTTTGGAAATTTCGCGGCTATAGTGTAGTTTTGAACACAAAGTCACTCTGTGCTCCGAAATTAAGATTGTACGTTACAACATTTAGAAACTTTAAAATGTCCTCGTATCCGAAAGGAAATAGATCGACACCATCTAGATCTTGAGGCCGTCTAAAAGACATTTTCAAGGAAATCAATTTATAAGTGAAGCAAATGAGCTCGTAAGAAGAAGTGCAAAAAATTGGCAAGCGCCAGAAGCGAAGACGTGCACTGGATATCCTTGTACGGTTTATTATCGTGTTATTGAATTTTTTACTATGTTCACTGCTATATCCGAACTTGTCGTGAGTGCAAACAAAATCTCGAGAACTGTTGTATGATTCTGGGATCGCAGACTATATAAACAGTAAGTCAATCAAATCATAGTTTTTATCTTTCAAAACTTTGAACGCGTTTTTCTGAAAACGTCATTTTCAAAATTGATGTACAAAGGATCTAGAAAAAACTATTTAACGATCCTCTTCAAATTGTAGATACAACTGAACTATATAATTACCTTCTAAGTGAACTTAAATGTTTATGAAAATTATTAAAAACATTTTTTTTGCAAAACAAAAATTTCGTGAAAAATTCAAATTTCTTCAGACATACGTCATTTTTCCAATTTTTTTTTTACTTTTTTTTAGATTCACATAGAGCGTATACATCTTATTAACTTAAAAAAAATTTTCCTGTCTGTTTGAGATCAATACAACAAGAGTTACCTCCAATTGGCAACTCACATCGCTACCTGTTATTTGCGGCGCTATAACTTCAGTATTGTTTTCTATTTTGTAAAAAAAGATACATTTACCTATGTTTTTAAAAGATAGACAAAGTAGCATAACAAATTTTGAAGTAATTAGCCAAATATTTTTTATTTAAAAAATATTTGCCAAAAATTACCGTTTTTTAGTTTCCTAAAGGTATTTTCCCTCTTAATAATTCAGCGATCCCAAATGTATTACATAACAGTGATAAATATAATAAAAAAAAATTAAAAATACATGAGGAAAGGTTCGCTATAAAAATATCTACTGAGCAAGAGATAACTTTTGACAAAGGAACCTATATTAATTATATTTGGAAAATGGGGTTTTAATAAAGTTACTTTTCATATAGAATGTATCAAACAAAATATGTCAAAGAATCAAAATTCAATATTGGATAATTTTGGAGCTATGGTGCATCAAAGGTGCTCTGTGAACACAAGTTTTACATTTTTGTTACATTACAGTTTAAAAAGTACCATTATTGAGTCTGATGTCTGTGACATTTATACTGTTTACATAATAAGCTACATTATTCATCGTGGGACTTAATCTTTCATATAATTTAATTCTTAAATGTTTTCGGCATGGCATACCTGGCTTTTCTTTTTTCAATATCTTTTTAATGTCTCCTTCATTATTTATAACTTTCATAAAAGTAAACATATAATAAGTGTTCGCAGTGTTTTTTCAATAGAAATGCGAGAGATATTAAGGAACATGGCGTACCAAGCAAATACATATATGTATTAATAAAAAGTCAAATTGGATTGGGTATGCCATCGCAGGAGTGTGTTGCTCCTATATAATGTATGTACCTTTAGATCGTTCTTCTTCCGGTGGCGAAGCGATGCCACTGGTGATCTGATCAGCCAAAGTATTCTTATCCTTTGGATGCACATAATTGATGAAAGATTTGCCAATCCAGGCATCCTTGAGGTAGCCAAGAGCGGTGTATATCGACGGGGTTGTATACAGCACCAGACCGTCATGCATTGAAATTACCGCGCAAAATCCATCCTACAGAATGTTCGGTAGATTAAGAAACTAGTCGACATAATGCGCTAACATTAATGGACTTAATGTAAATGATAACGTGATACTGAATTTCCTTTTCGTTCTTCGCGTAACAAAAAAATGTTAATATAAAATATATAAATGATAAAGTACCGATAACGCTAAGAGGTAACAAAAGATTGACGAACTTTACTAAGAAAATCGTAGAAGCAAGCTCGGGACTCGACGGAACCCGTGTGAAGCTGGCCCCCCAATATTAAAAAATCGATTTTTTTCTTCATGCATTCGTTTGCTTATCGTTTGCTCACCCTTAGTTTAAAAGTTATACGAAAATTATGTTTTGAGGGGCCAACTTCACACTAGCCCCTCAATATTAAAAAATCAATTTTTTTCTTCATGCATTCGTTTGCTCACGAATGCTCAGTTGGAATTTTCGTTTGCTCACCCTTAGTTCAAAAGATATTCGAAAATTATGTTTCGGGGGGCCAGCTTCACACGGGTTCCGTCGAGTCCCGAGCTTGTTTCTACGATCGCACGGTGCGATTCTTAAGAATCTATGTCTTTTTCTCTCTTGTTATGCCCTTATAACATGTGCATACGCATATACGTGAGTTTTTTTTTAATTTCTTCCTCTACTATACATTTATCCACATATACTAACATTGGCCTGAGACGTAGAATCGTCCAGGAGGCTCGTCCGTGAAGCAAGTCCTGCTTCCGAATCAGGGACGGTGTTGTCATTGTGCTCGCCAGGATCCGTTGCGTCCACCAATTCTACGATGGTCACTTCTTCTTACATTAAAGGAGCAAAAGAAATTCTCATTATTATAAGTCATCCAAGTCATCTAAATGAATCGCCATAAGAATGACGGTGGTGGAAATGGATGAGGACAATCTTACCCAACTTACCCAAGTGGCATAGTGACACATTTTTTTCGAAATTGTCATAAAATTGTAATAATTGTTATGAAATTGTTATTATCGAAGTCTTTGAAGTATGTTACTTAAAAATTAATTTGACACAGTCAAGTAGATTCTCTGTATATTATAAAGAATTTATTTGACTTTAATTACTTGAAATTAATTTGTTTTTAATTTGAATTACACATTAGGAATTTTCTCTCATTCGGATAAGCATTATATCCTACAATTTTTTAGTATCTTTGATAATAACTGAAAAATACAACAAATATTTAAAAAAAAAAATATTATGAAATGTTTTTTTTCTAAATAAAAGATAAAGTAAATTGCAATGCTGATTTCAATAATTTAATAATTCAAAAGAATCCCCGAATTATGGACGTAAATGAGCTACATATTAAAATTACGTTAGCATGATTTGAACCACGTAAGGAAGAATAGGAAGGATGCAGGAAAAAGGTACTCAGTGTTTCCTTAATCCAAAATAACCGCGTCATGGTTCCTACCTTGCATAAAATCATATTATTAGCGAGCGATTGTCAGAGATACCTGACGGAAAGTTCAATGCCATTACTCGATGATATGCTACCTCTAGCTAAATTGTTACTTCCTGGTGAAAGGCATTCACTCTGCGGTTTCTTCGTGAGCGCATGAGACGCGCGAGTGTATATCGTGCGATGATATCTAAGTAAGTAAAAGCGAACCTATCTACGATATGGCGACAACATGCTTTTATCGATTATATTCACTTTCTAAGAAAAAAAATATATATGTAACTGTAAAAGGTCTTCGAAGAAATAATGGAAATCAAGTTCCAATGAAAATAAATCGACAAAGCGCTTGATAATATAGACACAAGATATTCAAGTCTACATTAATTTTATTTTATTCAGCTAAAATTCATAAATTCCTCATTTTAGTTCTTCTTTAATATATAAATACATTTTATGAAAGATCTCAACCATTCTATCCACCTTTTTATTTGAATTATCATTATTACGTAACTTCCTTACTTTCGGGATTAATAGTCTTTCTACGCGTATTATATGCAACACAATATTATATGTTCCCCGTTATTACTCGCTGAAAGCGAGACGGCGAAGGGCAATTTTTAAGAGCACTATATTTAATTTCACAATGGTGAAAGGGTTGAATAAACGGCGACGTAAACGCTTACGTAAATATAGGGAATAAGCGCGTACACAGGGCGAAAGTGATTTCGTAACGTATCTACTGCGTCTCGAATTAACGCGTACCCGAGGGTTGGTATTACTCGCTAAAAATACAGGCGGTACTCTGCAGTAACGGTGGGGTAACAGGAAGAGTGATTATTGCTTTACAATTGCATATAGAAATGTAAATAGAGCGACCTAATGACGTGATTCACGAAAGGAAAAAAATGAAGAGGGTCCTCATTAAGAGATTAAATCTCTAATAAAATTTCACGTTCTGGTACATTCTAAAAAAAAGGAAAATAAAAAAAAAGCTACGTCGTAAGGGAAGTTACGCTCTCTAAACGTGATTAAATATGTCCTCCCGCGGCTTCACCACTCGCTTATTGATTTATCAGTTTCGCAATAGTTTATATAACGCGCAATATGAAATCTATGTTGTTGAGAAGAGAATCGCGTACGATATTATACGTACATGAAATCTTCAAAGCTCTAACAAAATATTTCTTTTTTTCAAAAAGAATCTATTAAACATTTTCATAAAGTAATTTAGTACTTACTTCGTAGTGCTTATTTGATAAATTTTTGTGTTTTATACTGCGTAACTTCGGATATTTAAGTAGTATAAAAATAAAAAGATGAGATACTAAAGAAAGGAATTATTGAAATGTATTGAAAAGCAACAGGTGAAGCTTGGCGGATCGTAAACTTGTTAGTGCCGAAGGATCGATAACTTCGGTAGACTATATGAGTGTGGGTGTCACGTTGGATGGAAATTTTACGCCCCACGCGGGTAAACTTTGCCCACGTGTGTCACAATTTCCTCTAAATAGCGATGACGAAGGAAAGAATCGAAGAAAGGGTTTCTCTCAACGCGTGATGACGATATCTGCGTATCACATGCGCTTATGAAAAATTTAACGTGACATTAATGTGTGAAACGTGTGCCTCTTTTACTCCAAGACGATTTTCGGTTATCAGTAGCACTTAATATTAGAACCGCTGGTATTATTTTAACTTCCCTAATCATTTCAATCTTTTATATACTTTTATATTAAATATACACACACACACATGAAAAAAACAATTTTGCTAAAATATCTAAAAATTTAGCTAGATAAAATTTAACAGCTGTCTCTTTGAAAATAAAAAAAATTTCATTAAATTATTAAAATAACTATGTAAGAATCTTACACAAATAATGATGAGCAATGCTGTACAAACTCTAATAACCAGCTTGAGCATTCCATATATTTTGACAGTCTAACAAAATTATTGTCAAATCTAACTATAAATTTTTAGATACTTTAACAAAACTGTCCTTTCTGTACAGTACAAAATATTTGAAATATAATATATATGAATATATATTGATAAGTATGTATACAAGTATGACACGTTTAACGATGAAAATCAAAATTTCTCTCGATTTATTCTATATTCTATTCTACAATTTCTCCAAAAATCGAGTGAATCACAATGAAAGAAAAGCCATAGATAATTTACGTGCACTTATTCCTGATTTTTATGGATAACAACCAACCTGGTTTCTTGTCAAGTATGACATTTGCCGGCGCAACGGTATTATACGACGTGACTTCCGGCAACGCGTTTACCACCGTCTTTGGGCCAGCTTCCGCTTCGGTGGCGTTAAGTCCAGCCACCGTTTTCGATTTCTTCTTCTTGTGCTCCTTGTCCTTTCTCTTGCTGATCGGCTGCGGTAGCGCCTCATTGCTATACATGTATAATAATACACTTAAAATCGTGAAACATATCCTTTTCGACACTAAACTTCCAAATCTAAAAATATCACTATAGCAGGACCAAATAAGCAGAATCGAAAAAAACCTATTAAACTATTAAATGTTCATTTTGTACTAATTTATGCTGCAAAACATAATTTTGTATATACTGTTTAGAAGAAAAAAATCTCGTGGTTTTACTAACTTAATATAAAGCTGGTAGGACCATAAGAAAAAATAAGAAAAATAAAGCAGATAATAATTAGTAGTGATTTTGCACTAATTTGTACTACACAAAATAAATTAATATTTTAAACTTAATATAATTATTTCCATTTATAATACACAATATTAATTCTAACTATGAACATTTTTTTTATTGAAATTTTTGATTGATTTATCAACCGCCATTAATACTTAATTGTTTTTATGGAAATTTTTCAAAACGCCAGTTTTTATTGAATTTAAGATAAATGTGATATAAATATTTGTATAAATGTAAATGTTAAAACAAAGACAATTTCTAATTATACTAAGCAATTTCGCATTCTTTTTGTTAGAATTTTTGATGCAATAGTAACATTTTTACATATAAATTAATCACGCAAGTCGATAATATCCGCGTGTCACGCCATGTGACGAATGAGTGTCAACGTGGAAAATGTGTTGATAAGCTGGAATCATAATAAATGCAGTTCTCACGACTCACGCGGATCTAAATATAGTATAAAAGCCAGGAGAGAAATATTCCATTGAAAGAGCGTGCAAACGTGTGATGATTCTAAAGTCCTTAGGAAATATTTTGAACATCTGACGTTGCTTCGTGTTGCAATTATAACATCCGAGATAATGTCATCACGCTAATGAGGAATCATAAATTTAAAATTATCACACAATAAGTTAATATCATTTTATATTTAAACGCGCGCCCCGCTCTGCGTATAATATTATATTTAGTATTACACATGTATACAGGATGTCCGGAATTTAAATGTCAAAACTTCGGAAGTGTATAGGAGATCGATAAACTAAGAAAAAGTTTTGTAGAGATATGCTCGTTTTCGCTTCGTTTTGGAGAAAATCGCAAAATAAAACAAAACGTAGTTTTCATTTTTTTTGTACTTTTTTATTACTTATTTACGTTGTGTTTATTCACTTGCTTAATGTATTATTCAAAATGTTGCTTCTTGTAGCAATGTAAGCATTGCACCTAGTATAGATAGCTCGTGTTGCAACACTGATCTAGTGATATTTATGGCGCACTGCAGTCTCGATCCGATTTTTTAATTACTCTCTTCAATTAATTGACAACGAATAAAAAATAAGATAATTAACAACGAATAAATTTTCTGCTTTAGAACCCTCCACAAAGAAGTTCAGTGATGTCAGATTAGGTGATCGGAATGGTCAAGATACTACTCCTCCACGTTCAGGAACAAAGCAAAAATGAACACTCTACAGAATTAAAAATTTTTTTTCTTAGCCTTTATCGATCCTCTACACGCTCTCGAAGTTTTGACATTCTGTATAATATTAAATAGTAAAATATAATAGAATATGTTAAATAATAATATAATAATATAAATACATGTAATTATATATATATATATTTTACATTAATAAATTACATTATTTATATTTCTCGCATGGAACATTTTATAAAATCGAGCTGATATTATCTTAAATTTTATTTATCTACACTCAGCTTTGCAGTTTCAGGCTGCAATTGTCATTTACTAATGCATAGACGACTTTCTCCCGGAAAACTCTCAAAAGAGTCCTGATATAACAGATCTGTAAAACGTGACAATGACGCGTTACACAAGTAAGAGAAAGTTTAACATTCGCCTATAACCATCGATTGCTCACGAGTTATTACCGGAAATCTTCCTGATTGTATGTTTCATATACCTTTCTTGCACGTAAATACCAAAAGATTACATCACTAAAACCGATTTCATCAAAACTTTGATTAACTTAATTAGCAGCTAATTCAACAGGCAGAACTGCCTTCAGCAAAATTTTTATAGTCATACAATTTATTGTCCCCAATTTAATTTTTCTCTCTATATGTGTTAAGTAATAAAAAATTAACTCTATCCATTTGGATGAAATAGTATTATAAATTAATCGTTGATTCATAAGAGTTTCGAAAGTAAGAGGTCGATAGTTGTTCCAAGCTAATTATGTAAATAAATTATAAGTAATCATTATATAAGAGAACTAATGAATAGTTTAATTGCGATGCTAAGCTTATCTAAAATTAATTAATAGATGAAAATATTTGTATAATTGTTCTCCTGGAAGTTTTAACCAGTGTTATAAATAACATTAAGTTCAAAAATAACCCCTAAGAGATTATATCTTTATTCGTATTAGTTCCCGGACTTATCTATACAGTGATTATCAAACTATCTGGTTTTAGACAATGCAAAACACGAGTAACCGAGAACAATAGGCTTTGGATTTGTCCGGAAACGAATTATTTTGATTTAATATAACATTTTGATGTTATCTCGACCGTTATTTAACAAATAATTACAAATAATAACAATTAATAATTGTTCAATAAACGATGGAAGTATAATTGTATCAAATTTAATTATGCGATTATCTATTCTGTTTCAAGCATTATGTGAATGTATATAAATATACATATATTAACATATTTTGTAATATAATATAATTTAAATTTCGTAAAGATTCAAATTTTGTTTTCAAACCTGCGTCATTTCTTCAATTTTAATTATTTTTAATTTTTTTAGGTTTACATAGAGAGCGTATCTTATTAACTTGAAGAAATGTTTGCTGTCTGTTTGAGATCAATACAACAGAAGCTACGTGTCCCGTCGATTGGCAATTCACATCGTCATCTCTGTTATCTGGGGCGCTGTAGCTTCAGTATTTTTTTGTATTTTGTAGAAAAAAATATTTTTATGTACGCAAAAGATAGAAAAAGTAGCATAAAAAATTTTGAAACAATTAGTCAAAATTTTTATTTAAGAAATACTTGAAAATTGCTGTTTTTTTAGCCTTCTAAAGATATTTTCCCTCTTAATAGTTCTTGTATCAAAGAAATATATCTTTACATTTAATAAATATGTATAGTTGATACTATTCAAACAAATTATATTTAATAAAATTTAGTATATTTTTCAGTGTATAAATACGCAAATAACATATATATGTATATATAATCTAAACAATTTATATTTTGTACATATATATTTTATTAATATAATTTTGTTTTATTCCGATTTATTTAATTTAGAGAAAAATATACTATGCACATGCTAATATATGTATATTTACAAATTCAGGATAGCATTACGTCAATCTTAAATAGATTAATTTTAGGAGCTATTAAGTTAATCACAATTACAGATCATATTAGTTAGCAACTTAAATGTCACTGTAAACGATACTCGTTTTTTATATTTACAAGCCGTGTAAAAATAAAACGCGCAACGTGAGGTAATTACGCGTGACTGCAACGTGCATGAACACGATTGATCGCAAACATTTTCTCCCGACGACTAGTTTTCTATCGAAATTTTCATTAAGGCAACGTATAATACGATTACTCTGATAACTGATTACAGAATACGTCATCAGAATACTTTAACTGAACACGTTACGTTTATAGAACCTACTATTCGGCATTAATCAGAATCTTTTCATGGAGATTTTTAATTAAAAAAATATAGCTATTATATTTAAACGTAAATTTCTTTCTTAAAATTGTCTCGTAAAATTTCATTTTAGATATCATTCGCCAAGCTAGTGAAATTATGTAACAGCAATTAAGGTATGTTTTCCGTGGAAATTTTTACTAAATTTAATCATTCACAATCGACCGTGAGTTTCAGGATCGACATTTGCTTATTATAACATTTATAACCGCGCCTCATCTCTTTTATCTATTACGCAACAATACGCGGGAGTGACTGCGATGAATACCTAGACCGGCACGTGGCGTAACACGTGCTGTTTATGGGCATCGCTGCTACGTTGATCCCGCTCTAACTGACTTTAATCATTTTATTTACATACTTATATATAATGCAGTTACGCGATGGCGATACCCAATAGAATGATACGTGATTGTTAGTCTTTGTCGGGAAAGTCGATGGCAGAAAACTCTGATGAAAATAAAAATTGAAATCAAATCGAATATAAGGAGAGAAAAGGCTTTTAAAGGGATAAAAGAGACTAGTAAACTGTTATATTTTGTTGACTCAATTTCCACCATTTCATCTCCTATAGAAGTTTCGTTACGCTTCCATAATTTGACCTTTCATTCGTCTTACACTATTAAATTCACAATGTCAAATTATGCCTAATTTGAATTATTTTTTATCATTCTCGTTATTAATAAATACGGCTTCTATGCAATCTCTCTAAATAATTACATAATTATTTCGCTTCTGACAACAGATTTATTATAAAAATATATGTTGTTTCTAGAAAGCTACAAGGTTTTTCTAAGATTATTTATTAATTCAAAACAAAATTTATTACATTGACTTTTCTCAGGTTTTCAAGATTGCTGCTAATATCGAGAATATAATATCGATCATTCTCCACATGCCTTTTCGCGGATCTTTCTCAGGCTGTTCCGTTGCACGCATAATGCGCATGATATGTATCATTTTATTCTTGTTTAACACTCTGCGACTAATAGTAAGTACAGAGAAATCTCACAATGGTAATGTTTCTGCAAATCAGCTGCGCGAAGTATGTTTAGCTATTACATTTGCAATCTAGTCGACCAAATTGCCAGGGGATTGTCATTTAAAGCTCGCTCATGCTCTAAATAGTCTCACACGTTATTAAACGGTTCTGTGTCACGTTTGTACTCTCCATTTATTCAATCCGGGAGTTATATAAAATTAATGGCAGCTGATTAATTTCAATCCGACATTTAAATTCATATTCAAACTGTATTTTATGTATTTTGTACATCCTTTTCCGATTTCGATAGTCTTTATTAAATTTGTGCAATCTGTCTTACACATAGAGATATAAAAGGATTCATAAATTCAAAGTCGTCTGCGATATTTTAATAAACAATAATCTAGTTACCTGAATGCGAAGGTCGAAGGACGTCTACCGTAATAACCGCTGCTCTCGGAGCGATTGCTGTTTCTCGAGATCGAGCTGCCGCTGCTGCAACAGATATCGAGATGATGATAATTGAATTTGTTCTAAAAAACGACACTCGGAAAGGTAGTCTTTTTTCATTGCAACAAATAATATTTAATCACTGCAAACATTATCACTTTCGACGTATAATTACAAACACCTTCGCTCAATTTGCAAATCACTCGATTGTATGTCCGTTCCAGTCTATGTAAGTATACATAGTTTAAGCCGGTTGCTAAAATGTTAAAACTTTTGGCAATATTGCTCATCATGCTTGAGAGTTTTACATAATTATTTTCAGGTCTGTATCTAGCTAAATTTTTAAATATTTCAGCAAAACTGTCCTTTTCATGCGTAATTAATTTTTCTTTCGTTTCTTTCCATGGATAAAAATGAAGATGAATCGTGCAAGAAGTTCAGATAAAAAGAACAAAATTTATTGCCACTTGATTTTAAGCGGAAAATTAGCAATAATAATGAAAAGTAAGCATGAATGACGAACGCAAATGTCAGTTAAACGGAGACTGTAAATGCCAGAGTCCCGGAAAGAAAGGAAATACGCAGTTCTCATCCACGTGCAAAGTGTTGATTACACGACAGTTTCATGATATGATGAAGCGAGATAGTAAATTTTAAAACGGTAATAAGAACTGTGCCAAATGTGAAACGTAAAATGCGAAAGAATGCGAATCTTGCACTTTTATGCTCGACTAAAGATTGAGATTGAGATTAAAATTGAACATGACCAATCAAAACAAAATTTACTAAATTTTATATTGATTTTCTTTCCTTTGATTTAATTCAATCTCAATCTCAGTCTCTATATAATTTACATCTATATAATACGAACATATTATAATAATCAAATTTTGCGATCAGTAGGTAAGAATTCCAGTTGGGATTCCTTCTGAACTAGTTGGGATTGCGCTCGATCGCGGTAACGTGCATGTGCAACGTGCGAAATGATTGCAAAATCGCGGCATAGTAATCTTGTAATGGCCTCGGCCGCTCGGGAAAGCGGCCTAGTTTACACTAATCGCTTAATCGACACAAACTATGCACGATGAATACAGCATTATGAATACCTCAGTAATCCGTAAGTAATCCTCAACGTGCAAAATTAGAGCGATTTTTATAAGTATTTTTTTCATTTTGTTTTTAATTGAATTTAATTTAATACTTGTATTTATCGCTGATATCTAAAAATTCAGGTAGATATAAATAATTGTTAGACTATCAAAATAATTATATAAGAAATTTGAGCATTGTGACATTGTGAGCAAAAAGTTGTGACATTTTAGCAATCAGTTTGAGTCCTCATAATTATTTTAACGATCCAAAAAAATTTGCAAATTTATATCTACTTAAATTTTATAAATATATATTTCGGCAAAATTATTCTTTCAATGTATGCGTCGTATACTATTAAATTACAAAGTTAATAATTAGAAGAGAATATCTATGAGAATTATGTCACTAAGTCTATTATATAATAAGAATGATGAACAAACGAGCGAGTTTAGTGCACATTACTTTAGCTTGTGATTACACAATTCGTTCTTATTGAAAGAATGGCTTTGTGCTGAAATATCTAAAAAATTTAGTTAGATACCAATCTAAAATAATTTTATTGGACCATCAAAATAATTATGTAGGACGGTTAATAAACTGATTGCTAGACTTAAATTTTTTTACAACGTTACTTAACAAATTTGAAAATCCTGTATAATTATTTTGAGTATCTAATAAAATTAGATATTGTGTTAGATATGTAGTTAGCTAAATTTTTAGATACAATAAAACAAAATTGAATATGCCTTTTTACACTTTCCATGTAAAAAGGCATATTCATTAATATAAAGTAAGTCAGTTACGCGATTCGAATTCGCGACCAACCGGTCGCGAATAGGAAAAAAGACCCTCGATCACATGTTCGGCAAACGTGACGTTCGGTTCTCTTACGCGCAGCCTCTCTCTCCCTCTCTCTCTTTCATTTACTCTGTGTAGTGTTTCTTTCTCGGACCTTTCACTGTCCCCATTATTCGTCGGCCGTCACCGATCAACCGACCGACCGGCCGCGTTTGTTTGGAAAAATTATTGCATAAGAAGGCACGCCGCTTCACGTTCGCGGCCCCGTGACTACTGCGAGGACGAAAACTACCACAACGAAGCCTATCGATTCCATTCGCCGATTACGCTTGAGATTTATCCAGGACAAGAGATACCATAGACTTAGGCGAGAAAATAGAATAATATCTAGCCCTCTCGTTCTCAGGCTGCGCCTCCGGTTGCATAGCGTTATGCTAAAGTGAATTAATCCATCGTGTGTAAGTTGAAATGAATTAAATTTGTAACACACTTTCACATACATAGACGGAATTTTTCTAATTTCTGCCGAGATTCAAGATATGTATGATATTTGATAACATATATCTATCCTAAATTTCGTAAAATAATAATTTACACTTAAAAAATGTACTAAAATTTTAATTATTTGAATAATACTAATATAACTTTTTTTTACGGGAAATAAATAATTGCTAAATAAAAAATACAATATGATTAAGTCAAATAAAATGATTAAGTTAAATAAATGCCTCTTGCATTAAATAAATATATGTTCATATTTTTAATAAATATTCAATTGGCACTATTCAAACAAATATTTATTTAGTATACTTTTTCTCTCATTGTTAGTGTAACATTATTTACCAATTTGTCAGAGCATTAATTTTGTTAAAATTTCATTAATAGTTATTTATTAATAGTTATTTGTCGCTATATTAAAATCATAAATGATTTCTTACTTTTCTTTTTAATTATAAACGTTGATCCGTTTTCTACGCTCTTCGTATCAATTTGTACAAAAGCGAGTTCCACAGATTTCGTTACTAATTTTAATAGAATGGTATAACTTTAGAAGCATGTCTGTACGAGAATACGCGCCAATTATCAGCATGGATCCATAAATGGTCTACAAAAGCACAGGAATAGATATGCTGGCGAAATGTCACGTTACAGCATCCCGTGCTCCACAATCAGCGAAACAAATTGTTAAGTGTTTACGGTGCCTGCACGTGCTGAGGATTTACGCGTATACGTCGCACGCAACTGGGTGCAGAATCGATTTATGACGCCCACGATGTGTCGCGTGATAAAACTGTATAATTATTCCGGGCTCGCCCGTTATCCGCGACTATTCCATCTCCCGGTCTACCTTTGATCGGTTGTCGTTGATCTAAATCTATTCAGAAATAATGTTGATATGACTAAAACTGCACAAGAATATCGAGATTCAGTTTTGCACAAGAAAGAACTTTATGCAAAATAATCATGATCTCACGCTGTAAACTAAACATTTTTTGGCAAGAGTGAAGAACAAAAATGCCCCCCCCCCTTCTCTTTCCTTTTTTATAATTATTAAGCAATAGTGATCTGGAATTGTAAGAGTTCAAAGTAGCCTAACGTAGCTTATGATTGGTTTTACGTTAAATGATTCGCTTCTAATTAAACATTATTTACACAATGCTAAAACTATACCTAAGTTAAAAATTAAATTGATTGCGAAGAATTGATTTTTAGCAAATCTCTTCACATTTCGATATTATATATGTTACGAATCTACGAAGTCACTCTCGATAGAAAATTAAGGACTTACAAAAATTCTTCATGTTATTAAAAAAAATGTTATTGTACTTTGATAATAAAAAAATGTTTTTTTTCATTTATGCTAGTTTTCTTTATAGTTTATTTAAATACAAAGGCACTCTAATAATACCACAAGATTTTAAGCTTGTCTTTATTAGTATGCTGTATTGAGCTAAGAGTGTTGTGAGTGTACATTGAAATTAGAAGTACAACTAAAGTACTAGATTCACGCAATATTAACTTAAATAATTATCTGACACTTTACATGTATTATCTGTTTTAGTAACTATATGTTAAAATGATAAGCACGCAAATCGTGGGTACATTAATAGGACTATGGTCCTTTGGCGGAGCACAAGAATTTAAACATTTTTAAAATTTTTATTAAAAACACTATAAAATATTAACATTTTATAGATTAAAAAATATTATTAGAAAAAAGAAATATTGAAAAAAGACGATATCGATTTCAAACAGAAACAAAATTAAGACTACAATAATAAATTCAGTAATATGAGCTAGCTGACTTAAAGGCATACTAATAGAGACAGATACTCTCTATCTCTCGCGAATGAGAGAAAGGACAATTTGAGAATTTCTACATAATTCGAGGAGACAGGTCCGTGCTATCTAATTTGCATCAGTTGCATGATATAGCCGCATTGCGATCACGTGGTCGAGTGATCGCAACTTGGCCGAAGTCTCCTTTTCGTTCGACCTGTTTTCGCGGGGTAGTTTCGCAATTTCTCTCTAGCCGTGTTAACCAAAGGACGTGGAAATGTAATCAGCACACATGTATGGACACTCACACAAATAGAGAGACTGAGAAACTGGTTAGCCTTAACCGAACCGTGTACGAGTTTCTGTCTCTCTCGCGCGTTGCTCTATTCATTCGCCTCTCGCCGTCATGAGAGAAAAGCGTGTCAATGCCAAGAATCGCGAGGGGTGCTTTAGAAAATGCGCAATTAATTAAACAATTATGATACGAATTTGGAACAATGAGAATAAAGCTAATTAAATTAGAGGAACTTTACATTGATCATATTATTGTTTAGTGCTTAAATATTTCTGTGCATATTTATATATACATATTTGATTCCGCAAATCGTGTATCGATATCTTTTTCTTGAAACGCAATTATGAGCAGAACCAGAGCAGTAATATCATTTACTAAATTGACCAGAAGAAATTAAAATTCATATTGATAAGCAATTCAATCATTTTTAATGCTAATAAGTTAATATTTATTAATAAACTAATTAGATTTATTTCTATTGGTGTCCAAAGAGTGATTAATTTTGTAATTAAATATATTATATTTTGTGTTATAGGTTTAAGGAAATGTCAATCAAACGATTAGACGATTATAAAGAGATAAATATATATTTTAGGAGATAATATATTTTGAAATTTCAAAGAGGATGATTCTTGTTCCTCCAGATACAACCATATTTTTACTTTCTCTCTGACTGCAATCTGGGTCTTCTTCCTTAGTTCAATTTTTTTATTGTTCTAGAGGCTTCTAAAAAAATCGGGTTTATTTCTTAATATTCTTATGTTGCATTATATTATTACATTACATTAAAATTTGAGCAAAAATGAGGGTGAGATTTTGCCAAGGAAGATCCAGATTGCAGACAGATTGCGGAGGGACATTATTTATCGTATGCACTTCCAAATATTTTTCTTAAAAAATTAATATAATTTTTTAATTGTCTCAGAATATCAAAAAGATGATATACAAATTTATCAAACTAAATATCGATGCGAATAAGCCATTTACGGTCAAGCTGGATCTTGGATGCTTCTAATATTTCGTGTGAATTTATATACTATGTATGTAGATCTCTAAATGCGCGCCGAAATTTTTTCAGACTTACCACGCAAACTAAAAAACTACCGCAGTACTATCACGAGTTAAATTGACTAACAATCTAATAATTTTGATGCTCATTGCATCTTGGATCTTAATAATATGTTGAATGACATATTAAAATCTATGAATGACATGTTAAAAATCTATAAATAATTTAACTACATTGCGAAAAATATTACCTCGACTGGGAGTCGAACCCTTTCTTTCCTTTTTGCATTTTAGATCTTTCGAATCCAGTTTGATATTTAACGGTAATGAGATTTAATGATAATCAAACTGCGTATTAGAGAAGAACATATAATTAGGACATTATGAATAACGTATGTATATATAGAATTCGCAGAAGCCAAACAATATTAAACCAGTGATTTGAATTATATATAAGTACGTAGCGATAACCCGCCGAAAAGCTGTTCAATCCGAAAAGATTAATCAATCGTAATCTACGTGAATAGAGATTAATCTATCGATTTGAAAAAGAGAGCTAAAAGAATGTCCAGGATAGTGGAGGATATAAATCTCTATTGTATTCGAAGAAATGTAATTACGAGGGTCTGTTATGACGCCGAGCTACGGAATAAATTATATTTGGTATTGCGCCAGGTATATATTTAACAATATAGCTATGTCGGATCCGTTATTTTCGAGTAAGTAGGAGGTGAACAAACCGAGGGGACAAAAATAAGAAACAATGAACTTTATCAATAATCTCGCTGCACTATCAAACACGTGCTCACACGTGTTCTTTTTATTGTTACGCTCGTAATTGTCACTGCAATAAGATTTCTTAATTAAAATTTTGCAAATTATTGCTTTGAATAAAAGGAATGTATATATAAGTGTAATTTCTATATCATTTGACATGTTCCTAATATTATTATACTTTCCATAATTGTATAAAAATCTTTTTAAGCAATTGCAGGCAATTCGCATTCAGAATGCGAGGGAATCGTTACCTTAAAAACACATTGATACGTATATGTTCGTAAAAAGAAAAATAAAGCAAAATCGACAGAGCAGAATAGAGATAAAAGCTCATAATATAAAACAAAATTAAATACGGATAAAATGCAATTGAACAATGTGGATGGCGAACGATGTATTGTTGAACGATAAATACCCTTCGGAGTGATTACATTTGACGCATGTAATTTATGAATGAACAATACAAACGGCGTCCCAAACAGTTGTCAAAGCAATCGGTATAAGTATTCTTGCGTGACGGTCATGTTTTCAATTTATTACTCATCGCTTTCGTGATACTGATCACACAACATTGATCGCGAAAGCGAGAAGCAGTGTGTCATCCGATGCACATTCCGGTGCACTTTGAAATACACGCTCATGATTAGAAGCCGGAAGAAGATTATATCGTGTATGGATTGTTGGTGTAGCAATAAATAGTTACGCGCATATCAAAGCATAAATAAAAGAGTGATTCCTTATAATTTTCCCCAAATTTTATTACGAATTATTTTGAAAATCAGAAGATATAAAAAGTTTTTTTATATCTTCTGATTTTCAAAATAATTTATAATAAAATTGTTTTTTTTTTTTTAAACACAGCTTTACTGAAATATTTAAAGTTTTAGTTAAATAAATTTGAAAATGTACATTTTGTTGGACCATCGAAATAATTATTTAATCAAATTAATTTATTGTAAACAAACTTCGTTAATTGTGTAGAATGTTTAAACTGATTGCTAGAATGTTCAAAATTGTGTGTAACATTGTTCTTATATAAATTAAATTACTTATATAAATTAAGCTTACATAAATAAGATGTAATAAAAGGCAATAGGAATCTGCGCTGTAAATAGTGCGCTAAATTGTCATACAATCAAGATTGCGCAATTAGCGCACTAATTAGAGCATAGATTCCTATTGCCTTTTATTACATTTTATTTATCTATATTTGATCATGAAGAATCTTAATTGTTATTTTTTAATTGTTCTTATATTGTTTGAGATTTCTACAAAATAATTTTGATGATCAATAAAATTATTTTCAGATTTGTATTTGTATCTATAAATTTTTATCAAATCTAGTTTATAAATTTTTAGATATTTTAGTAAAGTTGTTTTTCCCAAGTGTTTATCGATAAGATTTAAGACATTGGTGATTTGAAGAAAAAAGAAAAATATATAAAATAATAAATTGTTTTAAAAAGAACCTTTGATATTTTATTCGGTTTATGAAAGAACCATTTTTTTATCCATATAAATCAATTAGGAAAATGATATAGCTGTTTTCATATAGTTTCAGAACGTCTCATTATAATAAAAAATATAATGACCAAAAATCTTAACGAGCGCGAAAAATAGTAGATCGCGCTCACCTGCGTTGCGATTGGCTGTTGCTGCAGGTGTTGGAGTATCCCGAATCCTTGGTATTGTCCACGGATACCTCCTCCATTCTGCGCTTCTCAAAATACGAAATTTTCCCCCGATAAAAAGAAACGCGCTCCAAAACCGCCTCTCATCATGCACACGCACTCGCGTCCAGTTTACGATTCATCTCGCCTTTCATCTTTGCGGATCCGATCGTGGATTTGACAGGAAAGATCAAGACGGAGAGGAGAAGGATGTTCGTCGGGACTGTTTTGATGCTGGAGGTGCGCGACGGCGGGCGGGTTTGACGCTCGCCGGATTCCACGCGCGGACTGACTCGCCGGCACCGGCTCTCTCGGCCTAGACTCGATCCTCGTCACATTAAGTCGGCCGCACGTTCTGAGACACGTGAGCGCGGACCACCCGCGCTCACGTCCCGCTGCGGCAACCTATATCAGAGGAAGTTGCAGCTAGAGTCTCGCCGCTTCCCCTCGCTTCGTTCATGCTACCGTAATTGGCGACCGGCACGATTAAAATAGAGACACGCACGTTGCATCGATGATATCGTAACGTTGACTCTTCGCTTTGACTCTTTTTGCATCTTCAAATTTTTGGACGATAAAAGGATCGTCCGGATTTCTCAGATCGCGTTAGTTTCATAGTACGTTCTTATTTTAAAATATTATTCTGCAATCCGAGTCTGCTTAGAGCGAAATTTCGTTCTCCAATTTCATCCTAATTTTTGCTAAAATTTCAATTTTAATTACATAAAAGTTTAAAAAAAATTTTTTAGTAAATAATCTAACAATATAAATAATGCCAATATGAGTCAACACAAGTTGTTCATTTGTGTATTAAAAATTTATTTATTAACAAATAAGATGAAAATATTCAAGGACTCTTAGTATAAAAATAATCAATATAAATCAGAAAAGGTGATGTAAGAGTCAAAAGATAAAAAATTCATTTAAAAATAATACTATAATGTCAATACATTTAAAATTTGAAAAGTAATAAAATATAAATATAAAACTAAAAAAATATATAAATATAAAAATTACTTAAAATTAAATACATGACAAGTTTCGGCTCTAGGTTTGAGCTCTTTATTTATTAAAATCTATACATGTATATGTTTTAACACTTTTAACCCTCGGTTTCTCGGTCCTTATCAGTACAAATAAGAAGAAATCAAATTAAAATCTTCAAAAGAAAACAATCCAGAACATGGATTAATAATAAAAGTCATAAATTGGTACCGGTCAAGATCGGATCCTGCACATGAAATTGTTCGATTTGATGCGCAGTACAAAGAGTTGAGCGAACCATAAAAACACCGACAAATTATTAAATTATCAGATTTAATAATTAGCTAGGAAACAAATTGCTAAATCAATGTTGATTTCGAACAATAGACACATTGTTAGTAAGTAATGTAAGAAATGTTGAAAAGTAATTTTGAATTTTTTCTAGATTTTTATTCAAAATTTTAGATAAAATTAAAGAATTTTTTAATGCAACTTCGAAATAAATTGGGGAATGGAAGTAACGCAAATTATAATTATAAATTAATAGACAAAAGGGATTTCACGAAACTATGGCTGCGTTCGGAATTGACGCTCACGCGCTGTAAGCTTTACTACGTATTTTCTTTTAAGAGTAATATAATGAGTGGTAAAGGTAGAATGTGTGTGAAGTTACAGCGAGTAGCATCAATTTCGAATGCAACTTTTCTATTATTTCCTACAATTGAAGCTGCGAAACGTATAAAAAAAGTATAACGAAAAGTTTCACTACAATATAGTATATGTTACTCTTTTAAATTTAAAATTTCAAACATTTCCAATTTTTCGATAAATAACATAAAAATCTTCAATTTTTAAACATAAAAAAGAAATCTAAAAAATTTTGCTGGTTTCTCTTCATTTCATTCATCATCAATAGTAAATAATTTGCTAGAGTAAAAAAAACTTGGGGTGGACAAAAAATTCGGATAAAAAATGTGAAAATACAAATTGCAGACGAAGACTTAATTAATGTCTTAAGATGCTAATGTGGCTCTGTGATTGGTTTATAACATCTTAAAATAGATATTAAGATTAAAGGGGTATAACTAAGTAAAAGCCTTAAAAAAAAGGCTTTATCAATTTTTTTTAAAGTAACTATAAGTTTTAGAAAAGATATGAATTAATATATCAATTGGGCACACTTTGAAAACATTAAAAAAATTGTTATGTCAAAATATATTACAAATATATAATATGACGATATTGCACAACATTGTAGACTTCCGTTTAAAAACATGGTTCATCGGCGGCATAGAGAACTCAAGTTGTAATTATCTAAAATAAAATTTATTTTAAAATTTCAAATCTATATGAGTGTAGTTTCAGTTAAGCATAGCGTTTTAAAATAATTTTTAACAAAATGGCAGCGTTAAAAAAATTTTAATTTCACTACATTTTGAACTTCTTAAAAACATCTCTTTCCTTGAAAACTAACAATTAAAAAAAAATTCCTACGCTCAACTGAAACTATACGTTTTGTGAAATTACTGTTCAAAGCTGAGCCCAATCAGTCGAAAATTGTTCGAGTTATAGACGCCGCGGCGCCGCCAGTTGAAAAGTTTTTGAGAAAAATACGTTTCAAATTTCAATATTGATTATTTAATAGAAATCTATTAAATTTGTCAGCTTATCATAGTGAATCTAGTCCAGGACCATAAAATGAATCGTCTGTAGCAACGGTTGTATCATTTATTTTATAAAATTAATGATTTTATAGTTGATAAGTCTGATTAACGGAAAAATCAAATGGCTCAGATGATATAAATTTTTTTAGCATAAGTGCTCACAAAATCTACTGGTTTCTCTAATTCATATCTATTTGGAGAACGTTGTCTTTTTCGATCATCACAATATCTCTTACGATTATCAAATTTTATATTTTATCTATCTTTTATTTCGTGCAGAAATAAATATTGACGCGTATTGTGCTTCGTGCTACGAACAGCTAACGGCTATCAAACGAATTTTCTTCAATTTAGTTTTGAAACACGCACGCACGCACGCACGCACGCACGCACGCACGCACGCACGCACGCACGCACGCACGCACGCATAAAAAAACACTTTATACAACTAAGCACTTTACAGAAAATAACAATGTCTCAATCAGTAAAATATGACGTATTAAACAAAATTGCTATGAATAATTGCTAAAAATGTTAAACAAATGCATTTTGTTTGTAGTTAAAAACATAATGCACTTCGAAATATCTATACTTTTTCAGTATATAAATTGACGAAAAAAAGCTTCTGAATACCTCAGCGTATCTTATAATGTAAGTCTTTTAATACTAAACACTATGCCATTTCTAATTAAAGAAATAAAATTTAAAATAAAACGTATTTTAAAAATCTACTTCTTTCATATGTATATATTTTTATCAACATTTACGTCTTAAATTAATACTTTTTACCAGCAAGAATAAACTCCTGGAAATAATAAGGCTTTTAAAAATAGAAAGACGATAAAAAACCCGCCGTCACTCACCATTATCTAATGGCATATACATATAAAAGTATAGTCTTAAAAATAAATTTTTACGTGCAAAGTGAATATAGCAAATAACTGTGTCAAAAAAATATAATAATTTAATATATTTTGTAAAACTTTTCCGCCTCTCTCATATACAATTTCATAGAAATATTATGATCTTACGCTGCTAAAAATATCACAGTCTTCAGGTACAGTGCTTCGTGGAATCCTCACAGTATCCTGGAAATGAGAAAAACACATATCAGATTATCAAAGAACGTAAAATCAATTAATACAATATTAGAGACAGTAAACAATTAGACAAAATACAATATTTCATTCAAATAAATGATAAAGAAAAAAAAAATCAAGTGAAAAAGTCTGTTTTGGGGTTTATTGCGTATTTCATGTGTATTTGATATTACCAAAGAAAACAAGTCACAGTTACAGTCTCCTGGGACATCATCCGGTCAATACAGTGAGAATCTAACGCACGATGATACAAAAATGTGTGACCATCATAAAACATTCAATTTTGTGCGTTGATCATTGAGTGTGTGACAAGGTCAATTGGTATCGTAATGATGGATATCGGGTAATCTATTTTGTTGAAAAATTGTTTCTCTTTTTTTTTTTACCGTAAGCAACAAATTTACGCTTCCTTTTTTCTGTCATGCTTTGAAACAAAAAACAGTCTACAGTACATTTTACTCCTACATTTCGTTCCTACATCAACTGCTTCCAAAACAAGATTTTACCCAATACTAAATTGAAATTTAACATCGATATGTATAACATTGAGTATTATATATCTTATATATATTAGTATACGGACCTTTTTTTAATAAAAATTTTCTTGCGTAATAAAACTCAAAAAATAATTTCTCGATAAATTATTTTTCTTTCGTAAGCTGTTCGTTTTTAATAGAAGAATTTTATGTACGAAAACTTTTTTAAACGCAAAAATTAAAGATTAAATTTTTATTAATTAAATAAAAAATTCAACTAGTAATGTGTGTGCGCGTAAAAAACGCGATTTAATTAAATGTTTTACAATTTCATTACGAAGCATCAATAAGTTAAAATATTTTATATAAATATGAGTCAAACAATATGACAAAATTATGACATGCCATATGAGATATGATTTTATCAAATAACAATTTTTCTTACTATCACCACAGCATAAAATAAAAGTTTTATTGATGTCTCAATAATATACCTTGTTTTGGAATTACTTTTGTCCGCAATAACTTTAACTTATCGTTGTAAAAGTTGTCAATAGCGTATAAAGTATAGATACAAATTATTTGCTTCTTCTCTGCACGCAATATAACTATAAAAGAAAAGTACAGAAATTTAATCATAAATTAAAGGTCTCTTTGTTAAACCTAAGGCATGAGTTATACCTAAAAACCTATGCGAACGCGCAGATAATCAGAGCCATAATTGTTTTCATAGATTTCTCACAGTTGCCAATGTTGAATTTAAAACGTTTAAGATGTTCCGTATCATACTACGAATGCATCCTTTAAGTGTCGAAAATGTATCATTTCAAAGAAGTGTAAAGCTAAAGATTAAAAGATTAAAAAAAGATACAAATACATATATATGCGAGAAATACAATCTGGGAGACAGACATATATCAGACATACATACATCTGGTTTATGTACCTCATCAAAGTATGCATGCTTTGCCTCCTCTGAGTCTCACAATGTCTAAAGGAAGTACATTGCTATAATTCAAGATGTGGAAAGATTACTTTTCACACATGTATATAGCGAATAGGTACTCAGTGATATCGGCCGTTCGCACAGGCCTCTTAAAGTAACAGAAACTCGAGTCGTCCGCGCGCGCAACGTATCGTGTGTAAAACGGACATGTAAGAGGATAAAAAGTAATAGTAGTAGTAGAGTAGCAGTTAAAGGTTTCAGTAACGTAGAGAGTTGCAGCTGCGCGAACGTAAGCGAACAGTTAAATATATATAGGTAGGTAGTTGGAGTAGTTTTCCCTGGATGCACAGGCCCTTGATGTGGTCAAGTGAGTAGTCTTTAAATTCGTCTCTTTTTGTTGCGTGCGTCCGGCTTGTGTATACCAGTCAGTCTGTGAAGACAAACAGCAAAAATTACATTTTCTCCTGCCGTTTTTCTCCCCCTGCCCGAGGAGGAGGAAGAGGAGGAGGAGGTAGATAGAGAGAAAGAGAAAGAGATAGAGAAAAACAGTGATAGCGTCGGTAAAACAACGTCTCGGGGTGTACTACAACTATTACAAAGAAATGCCTCTCTTTTCCTTCGCGCCACACTACGCTACTCGTCTACTACTTACGAGATACGCATTTTTATTAGAACACGTTCAATTCTCGTCCTCATCAGTTCGTAGGCGTTTTCGTCGATCCTCACCGACGTTTCGTTCCTCCGCCTCGAGTACCTTCAATCGAGAGCCACATATCTCTTGACCATGCAGGACCTAAAAACATATTTGAATTTAAAAGCATCCACATGTTTTGAATATGAATGACTTGGAATATCTACGCAGTCAAGACGAAAAGAAAAAAAAAAGGAAAGATGTACGTACCTCAATGGCTTCATTCGCGCTGCTAACGCTGGCGTATTTTGCGTATCCACAATTCTTGCCAGGTAACATGTATACATCTATAAGATTCCCAAATCTACAGAATGCATCCTTCATAGCGTAAATAGGTGGCACCGGTGGGCCACACACAATGAAACATCTCTTGGCAACTTCAGCGTCTATACTCGCCATCGGTTGTATCGGCGGTAACTTCACGGATATGTGTTCTAAACCTAAAATGAGAAACGCAACGATACTTGATGCACAACGTATTGTTTCCTAAGTGCATCGAGCGCGCTGGCAAGATCGTCGAATTTGACTCACTCGGTGCCGTCAGACCTGCAGCTTGAATCAATGATGTAGCTTGTGCAATGGTCTCTGCCAGATGTACCAAATCCGTCCTTGCACTAGCGCCACTACCGGTTATTGAGCCGCCAGATTTCGACGAGCTTTTCGGTAACGCACCAGTCAAGTCCGGTTTGACGATCATTCGATGACCAGGTGGATATTCAAAACCGTGAAATTTCTCACGCGCGTATGCCGCCGCGCTCGGATTGTTGTATACCACCACTGCTTGACCACGTGGCATCCTGTATCTCACGTCGGTCTTTAAGTGGCAGTAATCCAGCCCAGGTACTATGTCAAACAGCTTCCACAGTTGATCCTGATTCAGGGCCGGATGTGCGATTACCTGCAGATGCGTGTAACCGTCCGAATTGGAATAGTTAGTAGCAATTTCGAGGCTGATGCTACTCTTGCCAAAGTTCGAGGAGCCATAACTGGTACTGATACTGTCGTATGCGGTACCAGACGATCCATTATTGTACTTGGCTTCGCTGTGATCAGGCTTTGGCTTCTTTGGCTCGGCGAACACTGCTTTGTACTTCCTGTCACACTCCTCAAATGCCCGCGCCGCGCTAGATACCTTCTTGAACTTGACGTAGCCAAAGCCCTTGGATTCATTTGTGCTGCGATCCTTCACGACAGTTGCATATTCGATTGCACCAAACTTTGAGAATTCCTGTTGTAGCTCGCTGTCAGTCATTGTTTTCGGTAATACACAGAATAAGCGAATCCATCTCTCCTCTTCGTTCGTCTCCCGCACAGAACCTTGATCCCGACTGTGAATAATCAGTTGAAAACAAAATGCCGATTGGAGCCAAATGTATTTCAAACAAATTAAGTTAATTTAAGTCTAAATATCTAAACTCTAGATCAGTTTAAATTGACTTGACATTCACATCTATTGTTTTCCTTTTTCTACCTCCAATAACTCTTAATACACATAATTTCCTGGTTTTTATCATGTCATGAGTCATTCATAGGTCAATTTTCATTATTTTTACAAGCATATACCCACAAAAATTATTAATATCCATTTCAATCAATGTACAGTTGAATTTTAATCTCTGTTTATAATTAATTCTTTCAATTAATTAATTTTCTTTTTCTAATTCTAAGAATTAAAAAAAAATAAGTAAAACTAAGAGTTAATCTATATTGAGAGAAATGGAAATAAGTTAGAATAAGTAAGATAGTATAAGTTAGAACAAGACAGCATATATAATAAAAAGAAACAATGCATGTACCATTCCTTTGAATCATGTTTTGACACAACTGCTTGTGGCCAGATTCTGTTATAAGATCTTTAAATCTGAACATTGATTTCCATCAATGCCCATAATTACAAATCTTGAATTGGTATTGATTGAAGCAAATAATATGAAGAACTTACTTTGAGGCGATCATCACTTTGATAGCTCTGCCCACTGAGCCCAGCATCTTGCCATTCATCTCCTCCAAAGCAAACGCCGCTTCCGATGTTTTAGAGAACTTGATGTATGTGACACCTGGGGCGGTAAACAGCGACGGACATTAGTATAATATATGTAGGTATATACCGGCGTATACAGAAAGAGAAACACGCAGGTAGTACCTTTCCCGAGACAGAAATAAAGAAGCTGCACGTTAAAAGGGAAAGGAAAGCGCAATTTCTTTTTTCAACGAGCAGCCCGGAATTTATCGATTTTATCTAAAACAGACAGCGCAGAATCATCACCTTTATTGTCGCCCGTGCTGCGATCCTTAACCACCCAGATATCCTCGATCTTGCCGAACTTCTCGAATGCTTTTCTGAGGTCGTCCTCCTCGAGACTCTTGTGGCAGATGACGAAGAGACGCGAGTTCGGCGGGTCGTCGTTTTTAGAACGTAGATCCGTCTGCGTATAATAATCCCGTTCCTTGTGGTCGGCCATTTTCCAAACGTGAACACGGGCGCTAGCTACCGCGAGCGCGGACTATCTACCGCGGCAAACAGCGGCAAATGCGGTAATACCCCACCGCTGTCGGCGCTATCCCGACTCTCCGTCTACTCGGTGATCGGTTTGGGTGGGTTCGGGCGACGCCGCGACGCGCGATGATGATGGCTGCCGACGGAGGGGTGACCCTCTCCCTCCGCCTCCTTGCCCCGCAAACTAATCCGCACGGCTGGTATATCCTTCGAACACGAGATCAGATATTGATAATTTTATTTTCGCTCATTTGTAAGAAATAATGTGTTGTCTTCTTGGATCTAATATAAATTAAAGAATATTATTTACTTACATATACTTATAGGGAATGTACGATAAGATTCCGAAGGCATGCATAGAACGCTATCATTGTAATCATGATTGTAATATCTAAGTATATATAATGATAGTGCTTGAAAAATGTACGAGAGATCATCATGGAGTTTGCCATAGAATTCAAAGAATTTCATTATCGTAGTTTTCTGTATTAGTTGGACAGTTCAAATTAGATAATACGAAGTCAAGATTAGAAAACGTTTTATATAAAGAGTTTATATTTATGAAAATTTAAGACGCCTAGTTGTGTTTTGTTCTTGAAAATGTCTGAGAAGTCAAATCGTAAAATATTGTTTCAATTATAAAAACTAATAGAAGCTTGGAATGAGCCTTTCCTATAAAAACGTGTGGCAGGGACTTGTAAATTAAGAGAATGACAATTATATAAGCTTATTCTTTTTAGCTAAACTTCTTGCACGGTTTATCTTTCTCATTTTTCCTTTTTCTTTCTGTGTTGAAGAAAAAAAAGAAAAGATGAACCGTGCAAGAAGTTTGGCTATGTGCGACTAATGCCTATTTCTGTCAATAGTTTAATTCTAATCTGGGTTCAATCAACTCTTCATCTTTTTCTATCTTAAAGAATAAAAAGGGTAAAAAAAAAAGAATAAATTAAACCGAGATTAAAATTAATCTACAGTACCAAAAAGGATATCTATCTCACTTTATTTTAATATATTGAGATGTTCCTAAATGGTGTAATCGTCACTCTCACTCTCTCTCTCTCTCTCTCTCACACACACACACACCTCATACAGTTCGGCCCGATCACACGTTTTTATAGAGAAGATTTACTCCAGTTATGTATAATAGACTCTATACTGTAGAGCTCACTGAATTCTATTTGAGCTGCATTTCACTTAACGCTCGTAACACTAACGAGCATCGTTTTTCCTTGTAAGACCTGTTCTTTTTCCATACCTCACAATTGAATTTCTTGTACGGTTTATCTGTATCCTTTTTCTTTTCACAATATGAGGAAAAAACACAAAAGATATGAATTGTGCAATTTCAATCCTAGGGTATGGGAAAAGATCAGTAGGTCTAAAGAAAGAGAAACAAAAAAAAAAAATTCTTTTAAAGTTGCAAGTCAGCCTCCCAGTGAGTCCCAATAACAAGACAAATATGTACCTGAGGATTAGAAGAAAAAGAGAAAGAAAGGGCAGAACCATAAGAAAGTTCAGTTGACTTGGACTAATGGACTTGCGCGTTCACATCTGACATTTAAACTAGTCTGGTGATTCGGAATATTCTTTGTCTCGTGTGATATGATTGCAGAAAAAAGCCTGACTTTCTAAAGATCAGAACAAACGAGAGAGCATTGATTCGTATTTGATCGCTAATTTTAATTGCCGACTAATCACAAAATAGGATACGCAACGATCAAATCATAAAAACGTCAATAATTGCATGGAGGGAGATCTCTTCTCCTGCGGAATTACGCAGCGAATGAACTATTTCCACCGTCGTTCCTTGTATTTTTGGAATTTAACAGACAAGTTCTAATTTTTGACACTGTCATGCTACATGCTTACGTAATTGAAATATAAATAAAATAAAAGTTTAAGTGTATAAAATATGAGATATAGGATAGGTCAAATTCGCACTATAAATATTTTGAAGTTTTGATTGCTCAATCAGAAGAAAGAATTAATTTTATGAGTTAATTAATCAAAGAATGCAAAGCATTTACAGTATTACGTTGATATTCGTACCTATATCTAATCGCGCGTGTATATAAATATAATATTTTATTTTTGTTTCAAAAATGAATAAATGCAGGTATAATTTTAAAATAATTTTAGCCTTTTAAGCGTTTAGTTAGTTATCATTACATTCATAAAAAATTGCAACATTGTTATCACATTGTTATAAAAAGTAACTGTAAAAGTAATTCTCTTCCATTCTTTGAACAAATGATAACTTATATTTGTATTATATATAATATAAATTTAACTAATATGAATTTATATTATACATAAATATATAATTATATATGCATATAATTACATCAAAGTATATTTCACATACGAAAATATGTACGCGGCCTCGACATTAAATAAAAACATGGCTAATAATATTCCCTGAAATAAAAACATAGTATCAAAGGAAGGAAACGTCGAGGTCAACCGATCATATTAAAAAACAAAACCGTACGAGTTAAAAAAAGATTTTGCATATACTTGGAATGCAAATTAATAATTCATTAAATTCTAGTCAATTGGAGCAACGTGTATTTTACGATTAAATACTTTCACAGATGTAAAAAAAATAGCACCAACGAACGATGCATCTCAAAGTCGAGTTACGAGTTTCCCGTCATTCGAAATTGTGTTACGGCAGAGAGCGCGCGAAAAATCAGGTTACGCAAAGCTACATCTCGCTGTTCGCGCTTCGCATTTCGCAAGCTACGGGGAAAACGTCGGCGTGCGATTGAAAGTGTCATGCTCTAATATTTTCGCGTGTGCACGTTAAAGAACGGAGGAAGAGAAATGCGGTAATGACGATTCGCTGCTGCATAATCGGCGTTTCACTAGCTCGAAGCTCGATCGCGCGCGTATCTCCGTTCTTTTGCGATTTTTCATCTCCGCTATTCTCGCGTCGGGCCCTGTAGACGAACGAGAACCGCATTTGCAACGGTTCCACTTCATATCGCCTGAAGAGAGAACAGAGTCCACAACTACGCTGTTTACTATTTGATTATGCGATGCATAATCTCGCCGAGCGATACGAGTCGCCTACTCGTCGACATTCGACATTTACAATCAAGCAACGTCTGTTGCGAATTACGTAACTTCTCCCTACTTCTCCGAGTTGTTGTTTCCTAAAATATACGTGTAACCTGCGTGGAACGTAGTACGACGCGCGTATGAAAGTCGTAATCTCGACGAAAAAAAACGCAATTGACGTTAAAGTATTCTAAAGGAAATCTCTAAAAAAAAAAAGACATTATTATTTATTCTGATTCAAATGTGTGTATATATATTCCTTTTAGATAATCTTTCAAATATATTACCATTATACAATATTTATAAAAATATATATACCTTTTTTGTTGTAATAAAAGCCTCTGAAATTTTTTTGTATTTTTATAGTATATTAATGCAAATATATTTGTCAAAAAGAAGAGAAAATATCTGAAAAGAGAAAATCTAACATATTTTTTAACAATAATTTGTTATACATAACTTGTTTCAATTATAGAATCATTCGTATTGAGTTGTTTCTTTGTCATGTAACAGCTATGTAATAGTTATCACAATATTCATAATTACGTGTATTTATCACACTGTATTGTGGCATTTTTTATATTTGTTTGTACATTATCAGTCACGGTTGTTAACTACACGAGAGTTTATGCATCGTACGTAGAAGCGGATACTTTCCCGCCATGTCCGGTCCAGTTCGTATGGACGAATTTCCCTTCCTGACCAAGCAGCTCGTACGTGTGAGCGCCGAAGTAATCTCGTTGCGCCTGTAGCAAATTTGCCGGTAATCGGCCGGTTCTGAATCCATCGTAGAAGGCCAAAGCCGTCGATAGAGCAGGAGTCGGTATACCTATCGTCACGGCAGTGCTCACCACTATTCTGGCACTTTGGTGGCACTTATCCATAGCCTTGGCGAAGAAGTCGTCCAGCAGTAAGTTGGATAATTTCGGATTTTTGTCGTATGCCGATTTTATATTTCCCAGGAATACGCTGCAAGAAAAAAATTACATATAATTTTATAAATATCCTATTAATATGCATATCTAAAGAACATTATTGAGATGTTTTTGAAACGCATATTGTCTATGTTTCTTATACCCGTTTTTACATCATACATAATTACTTTACATAACAGTTAATATACATTTTGATGTTTTTATTTAGAGTAGCTTCAAGTGTAAGAACAATAGTCCTGAGCCAGATCTTATCTCTGTATATTATCTCGATTTTATATAAAATAACTTATTTCAAACTAGCGTTTGAAAGAAATGAGAGCTATCTTATGTGTAAGTTTGTGTAACGCTAAATACAATGCCTCTGAGAAACATTCTACAGCCTTGACATTGATACTTCCGTTGCTACTTGCTTTAAAAAGAAAATGTAGGTCGTATGAAAAGGATTATTGTCGTAACATTGACATAATTAGATAAATTTGAAAGCGACATAAACTTCTCGATCATCCTACCTTCTTATGATACATCCACCGCGCCACATCAACGCTATTCCACCGTAATTCAAGTTCCAATTGTGAACTTTGGCGGCTTCTCTTAACAGCATGAAGCCTTGCGCATACGAGATAATTTTCGCAGCGTACAGAGCCTTTCTTAAGTGCTCAAGGAATTGTTTTTTGTCGCCTTTGTATACTGGATCCGGCCCGGATAGCACCGCGCTCGCCTCTACGCGTTCATTCTTCAGCGCGGACAGGCATCTGGAGAAGACAGACTCACCGATCAGCGTGACCGGCACGCCGTAATCTAATGCAGCGATTGCCGTCCATTTGCCAGTGCCTTTCTGGCCGGCAGTATCTCTGATACGCTCGAGCAAATAGCCATTTTCATCCTTGTATTTGAGAATGTCCCGCGTGATCTCGATTAGGAATGAATCCAACTCGCTCTTGTTCCATTCGTCGAACACTGTGCTCAT